AACGATCCATGAACAATTTTCAACCATAAAGTGTTGGATGAAACCTTAAGTGTCGTTCATATTCAGGTACATAAGCAATTACTTTTAATGAACCAACATCAAAGACCGTTTTAAGGTCAATAACGATGGACTAGTCAAACTTTGAGCATGTACCGTTGTTATCACTACTTGTTTAATATATTTCTATGGGTTGTCTTGGGCGAACCTTAGAATGCAGTTTCGGTGCTTCTCCGTGTTTTCTGTGTTGTGTGAAAAATTCCAGAGAATCGACCACTACACGGCTCACCTATACACTTATTCTTATATTTATAACATTCATATCAACTGCATCGCATGAAGGTGGAGTCCTAAGTTCCCTGTATTCAAAAGTATATTTTTATTTAAGCTTATTGATTTTTCTACAGTATGTAGTTAATTTTGACTGGTTTTGCGATAAGATCGGAGCTGGCGAAGGATGTTACCGACTTATAGGATATATTGGTGTTTATCGCATTTGTCTATCTCTGTTCACATTTCACATCCTAATGACATTTTTAACTATTGCCGTTTCCTCTAGTCAGACTTTCCGGGGAAAAATTCACAATGGGTAGTTAACATATGTAATAACTCATACATGTAGGTACTGGTTGTGGAAAATCTTTTTTATTGTCAGTTTGTGGATAACCGCTTACTTATTTCCATCTTTGGAAAAGCTCACCAGAGGTTCGTTTGATTTTATTTACTTTTGATTTGCTACAGTTTGGATGATTATTGGAATTGTTGGTGGAATGTTATTTGTCTATGTGCAACATATAACGCTAATCGACTTTGCTTATGAAATTAATGGAAACTGGTAAGATGACTACATGTTTTGTGGTATTTTTCCCCGTGATTATAAACCATTATTACGTTTACTGACTGACTCAATATTTGTTGAATGTTGTGCAAGTGTAATATGTTTAACATAAAGTATTCGGATTACCGAATCGTTGTAAAGGTAATCATTGGTGAATCGATGAAATATCAAGATCAAAATAAATACCTAGATTTTTGCAGTAGTACTTTTTAAACGGGTGTTTGTCTCCTAACGGATTGGTGATAGTTTTGATTTCATGAGTCATGAATCTAATACATCACTTAGAGCCACTGGTTCAGAAACTATTTATAGACTTTTCTAGTCTAGTTTCTTTATGAGTAATGTTTGCTTTGATTCATAATTATACTTTTTACCAAAACCTTGAGAAAATGCAGCATATTAAGGCCTTTTTAACCTAGGTTTGTAGTTACATGCCTCTTAAATGCACAATTTATACCATGTTTCGATTTACCCCACTAACGATAGGTCCTTGCTCTGTGACAGTATGTAATTACAACATTTTGTCTCTCGTAAAGCCGCTTTCAAAATTTTTTACACCTATTGAAGAATTAAAGTGCATAGTTTTTTGATTACACGGCACCAGTAGTATGGCGAACCATGTTTAACTTTTGTTTTAATAAGAGCGAGAATTCTGCTTATGAACAATGAATATTATAGAGTTGGTCATTGAAGTTGAATCCTTTGTGAGATATCTCTTCGCCGAGGCTACATAGTCAACAAAATTTAGATCTTACTGCAAGTTCAAATGATCTCTGTCTTCGTCTCTCAGTATCCAATATTTACTAGTAAATTTAATTTGAGTAATACTTCAAGTAGTCCTTAACTACAGACCAAACTAGAGTTCGTTGACGATCTTTACTGCCTTAGCCTTATGCTTTATTGCTAGAAACTAGTGTTGATCATGAATCTGTTACTTATTGAGTAGTACAGGTTTACATAGTCCAATAACATACAAATTCATGAATGCAATTCTCAACCATTAAGTGATGGAGTTGAACAGTCATCTACCTACTAAGGTTTTGGAAATGGGTTGTTATTGGTTATCGCTTAAATGACAGCCGATAGTTTAATACATGTCCCTCGACATTATAACCGAACTGAGATATTACATTCATCATTGTTTACACTAATAAACTATTTAAACGGTATTTTCAAAAATAGGAAGAGGCTAATTGAGTTCCTGAATGGATGGATTTAGGCGTTTTGTAGTATAAAACAACGGATTTTGTAGAAAATAGTTGGTATAGATTGTGGTCACTAGAAGTTCGCAAATCACTTTTGTGAAGAATCAAATATCTTTTTGCGAGAAAATAATAAAATTTTTGAGTGATTTAAATATTCCAGTAGTTCAAAACAATAGACGTTGACCGAATAAATTGAGACATATTAGTGCATTGTTTCAAGATGCTCTGTTTAAAAAACTCGTTGCTATAAACTGTTAGTCAATAATACAAGAGAGACACTGCTGATAAAACCGAAACTAACAATGAAAAATGGAAACGTGAATTGGGTAACAAAATATATATCTAGCAGTACAATCGATGAATAGGTTCAATCTGTACAGGTTAATACAGTACCGTTGTTAGATGGTCCACACCCAGGTAATGTGGTTTCTCAAAAGGCCGAAACATGTATTTGGCTTGGTTTTGGGTTTTTACCTGACAATATTGAGTCTTATTTCAACCTACTTCTATCCTAGTAAGCTTGACGTGACGAAGCATGAAACATTTCATTGTGTTCTGAATATGATTCATCACAGTTGATGCTGTCATAATAACCTTATTTTAAGCTGGCATGAATATTTTAGATCACTTGTCTGCTTAGTAGTTTCAGATCGGGCGGAGGGTTTTTGAGCGACATGCTGATGCTCATTTACTGCCCTGTAATAGTTTAACAGAACTGATTAGTCCATTTGTATTGATTGCTTGAATTTTTTCATTGGTGTCTAGGACTGTAAGTGATCAGCCTCTTTAGCGTTTGTGCATCCTGTGCGGATTGACTCGATATTGCCTTTAAGTTACAAGCATTTTTAGCGGAGATGGTAAGTGGCTAGCAGTGGAATCCAGAATACGTCTGTCATCCTATTTGGGACTCGTTAGCTGGGCTTACCTGCATCTCACTGTTGATGTTCACTCTTAGATTACACTGCTAGCCACTATCCACCTCTTCTAATACTACTTGTACCCTGAAGGCAATATCAAGGCAATCCTCAGATTATGCACACATGCCAAAGGGACTGAGTTTCTAACCACCCCCAGATCTATTATATTTAATATCATATAAAATACATTGCAATGCAAAGTTACCAAGCTTATTAGTCACGATGTAAATTATTTGATGAAAGTCAATTAGCACTGTAGATCGAAAAAAATGAGATTAATTAGTGCATTTGTGATTGACAGGCGAAAGCGTTTAGGTTTGCTTTTGTTAGCGCTAAGCAAATTTGTTGGTCTTATCAATTCAGTTTAGTCATTCATATCTGATGTAGATTGTTAGTTAAGATTAATTTTGATTTAGGTCTACATGATCTTCATTTTAACTCTCTGTTTAAGACTACGTCTAACGAATGGGATTTTTCTATCTTCAGAATATTTTTTTCCATTTCAAAATATACCTAAAGTTACTCACGAAAATTCATAGCTTAGGACGCAGAACTTTGTAACATTTACACGATGTTTTCTCAATGAATTATTTAACTCAACAGTTTCTTTAGTTCTGCTAACATTATGTCAGTTGTACAACATCATATTCCAGCGAAAAATTTATGCTCACCAATATTTAAAGCAAATAATAGTTTTATTTTGTCACTAGTATGATTCAAGCATTTATTTTTATTGAAATTATTTCAATAATATTTTCTTTTTAATTCATTTAGGCATAATAAATCGAAAACTTCAATATTTTATACAATAGGTAAGTGAAATATGGCATCTCTGTTGTTCTGTATGCATTTCAAACACATTTCATATAGAAATAAAACAAACCCAGGTTGAATGTTGTGAAAGTTTTACCAATTTAATTGGTCAAAGGTCAAAAAAGCTAAACATCAGGGGTTATCGATGTTTGGATTTTAGGGATTAGGTCTGTGTTTTATGACCCGCTGTAATTTTGATTTACATAATTGGCTGTCATATAAATTTAATTGAAATGTTTAATATAAATCACTTTCTGATCATTGAGTTTTTCTTAAGGTTGAAATATGTGTAAACGATTGGAAATCCTATTAGAATCAATGAAAATCTAAACACAAGAAATACGCTTCCAAAAGTATTAATGCACTAAAACAATGAATAGCTGTGCTTGGTTCAAGATTTACTGGGTGATACCTTTGGTTGATATTTTTCAAGAAGAATTATCTGTAATTCTGAACAAATCAATCTCACAAAACCCCTAACTCATATCACCTGGTATTTTTGTCAAAAATCTTAGATGATCACTTCGTCATAGCTAGTATCTTGTTGTCTTCTACTTAATGCCGATCGATCAAGTTTTTAAGGTGAACAGTATATTGACTGATTTAATATTGTAATGAACTTTGTCTTGTGATTAAATTGTTGAGAGAAAAAGTATGAATAGGATTTTCAAATATATTATCATGTAGCGCATCACTTTTGTTAATAAAAACTTCGATAAAAGAATAACAATTTAGTCTAATCACTAACAATTAAATAATTAATGCAAGGTCAAACCTGTTAAATAAGCTTATCATTGTACCTTGTGGACAATTATTCAATGATCAATTTCCGATGATAGATCTTGTTTTAGTCGAATACCATAAGATTAGGTTATTAGACAAAAAAAAAGATTTATAGTAAACATCCTTATCATCTCAAAATGTTTATCTAACCTAGGCTAGGCACTAACACTTAATAAAACAATATAAATGCTGCTGGAACCTATCAGTTTTATAGAAAGTCTTGGTTCATGGAGAATTTCTTTAACGAATGTATCGATTGTTTTTAGTTAAGTGTAATCGCACAACTTCAGTAGAAAATATCACCGCAAACTAACTAATGTTAATGTTTATCCAATGAATATTTGCCTTCAAATAAAGCTTCAACTCAGTAATAATAGCAATAATATTAATAATAATCGATAATAATGATTTGTTTTAGTCTGATAATTAACATTTCGTTCTTATATGTAATGTGAAATTTTTATTTCTTTAATCTTCAGCTATATATATTGTTACTTTGTTATTGTATGCCGTAACTGTTTGTGCTTATACTGCATTTGTACTCTTCTACGGTTTACCTCGTCAATGTACATTAAATTTAACTGTTACTGGTATTAACGCAGGCCTTACATTATTGTTTGCTATATGTTCTGCATTTTCTACTATATGTAAGTTAACGTGTATTTTTATTTCATTTTTTCTTTTGTATTTTTAAATGGAAATTGATTTTCAGTTGACGAGTTAACTAGATATACACTAGATAACTCTGCTTACTTACTTGTATTTAACTTTTTAACAGTTCACAGCTATAATTCTGTTCAGGATCACAAACCTAGTACTTTGAGGTCATATGAAAGACGTGACATGCCATTAGAATCTAAGATTTCAAATTTTTAACTTTAATTAGTCTGCATTATAACATTGAACTATGAATGATCACTATCATTTTATGCGTTAACTGATATTAACAAATATGTGTACTATTGAATTCCAATTTGGTGACTTGATAACATCGTGCTGAGTTTAATCCTGTGTATGCCACTGATGAGTCTTGAAATAGACCAAAATAGATGTTGAGTGACTCACCGTGTTTAAGATAAAAACTATTATTTTCAAATTTTACATTTTCAAAAAATTAATAGAATAGAAATCATAAGAAAACACAAATTAATTTGTGTAAACTCCAAAGGTGATATTTCATTTATTATTGTTGATCGATCGAGAAATTCTCCTTTTATTATTATTTGACCAAATGATCAGTTAGTCAGTCAGCTACAACGCAGAACTTTTTACGTACTTACATCAGTTCAGGTTGCTATACCACGCTAATTGTGACGAATTTGGTCTTGTGTACTGTTACGACGGGTATGAGGGCGGATATCACTTACCGTCTGCCCACATCGTGAAAGGAACCAAATGATATGATTCATTTATTCTTTGTTTGACTACGTATTCAGTTAGTAAATAGTTTCAATCTAGAGTATATTTCTGGCTATTCATTCTTCCCTTACATTGTCACATTTCAGTGCGACAAGACATCGCACATAAGATGGAAGTAAGGATCATAAACGAAATGTTTCTGTTTAAATCAATCTGCTAACTTTTATTTTGAAAAATATCCATACCTTGAACACCTTTTTCTCGTGTTTAATAGAAATAAATAGTTTTTATTAAATATTCATGTGTATTTATTTAAAAACAAGATTTTATTATCAATAGGCCCGAAATTAATCGATACAACGACTGATTAAGTAAGAGCTATTTCAATGTGAATATAAATCAAACTATTTTAATGTTTGATGAGATAAAACTATGACGCTCTGGAATTAATTTGTTTATTTCTTAAGGGGCCACTAAGCATACAAACTATCAAAATAAAAAAAATCTATTTCTAAAATGTTAATAATTAGTGTATGTAATCGCCTTACAGAGATTATAAATTTTTCAAGTTTTATTAGTCGACTTTATTATGTTAATCTTTAACTAGTTCTACTATGAAAACTTATTCGTATTCAAAAAAAAGATCAGTGTATGTTTACGTCCTGAATTTCATCATAAATACTTTTTCATGTGTCCGGTCGAATCGATTTGATATTGATTAGTAAGTGTAGGTAGACGGCGCGTTCATATATCATATATGTAATCAGCTATTTTTTGTTGTAAACTAATTCTTTGGTGATTCCTACTTTTTATCGTGTCGATATACGTTGTTATTATCGATTTCTGGTTATTGATCAATTGATAGAACTTTGAGTGTCAATGTTTGTCTTGATTTATTCAACCTCTACTTTATAATCTTTCTATAGATGCCTGTTCCTAGTTTCTATATTAACTGTATATAAACTCGCCGCAAAAATTTATTAAAGTGACATATTGGGCGAACAGCATGAGTAACATGTAAATGAAATTCTGTGAGCTTTTCTATGACATTTTTTTGTGATTAAAAAGCGTTTTTATCATCCGCTACCTTAATAATAACGTGATTTGGTTCAGAGAAAATGGAGTAAATTCCTAGTTAAACTAATATTTCGGTTTAAAATTTCCAAGCGAATTTCACTATGTGACATTTTGATAATCGTTAGCAATTTAATACTTAAATAAATGTGGTAACACAGTAAAACTATTCATACGATGAATGTTAATTGGCATTACTATTTGAATTGCTTGTCAAAAAAAAAATTCGTCATACTATAACTATAGTTGCACTAATACGATTGTTTACAGCGGTTTGTTTTCCCTCTGTATTTATCACATCTACTTAGTTATTGTTCCAAAGACTGATTGTGTAACAAAAACATTAAGGTGAGATAATCCATTTTTGAGTAAATTCTGTAGTTACTCAATGTAGAACTGTTGTGTAGTTGGAAAGTAATAGCAATTGTTTAACTTGTAGTTTATATACTTTTTCTATCTCCTATATTTGTCATAATAACGTGTTCTTGATGTAAGTGGAGTTGACTTATGGAAGTTTAGCTTCTGGCTGGGTACCTTGTAGAGCGTATGTCAATTTTATACAAAATAGTAACGCTCCATTGTTTATCCGAAGAATTCGAGCGTCCTATTAGTGTTCGTTCCATAAAAAATCCAACGCTATTTCAAAAACACAGTAGTGTTCAAAAGTGTCAGATACACTGCACAAATTTCACAAATGCATTATTCTTTTTCAAATTTCTACTGACAGTATTATCTATAAAGTTGATGAACATATTACGTATGAACACTTCATCTCGATAAATACAAAACATTAATAAAAGATCCACCCTGAGCTATATGCAGATAGCCTTATCATTTCAAATGCTAGATGCGATAATAAGATTATTCTACAAATCGAAATCAAATATTAACAAACTTCATTTGCTATTTTTTTCGACTGTCTAGTATTTTTTTAAACAATCTACTTCATGTGACTCTTCCCATATCAGAACAAAATCAAAAGCGAGCGATGTATATTCCAATAAAATTAAAATACAAAGATGCAGTAATAAAGACAATAATTTATTTAGAATTCGTAAAAGTATCTTTAGCAAAAGCAATAGTTTAGGGACACACTCAAACCAACCGTGACTAATTTCATGCTAGTTTTTAGCCAATCAAAAAACAGCCTGTACAAATGGATAGTTTATAGAAAAGAAAACAATAATATCATAGATTGTGAATAGATTTTGCGTATTTCGTTAATCTACTAAAGTTATGTGCTGGTTCCAGTAAATTTTCGAAAAGGATACATAAAAAATTGTCCTACCTTCCCCAAAATCGAGTTTACAAAGCCCCCCATATTGTTATTAGTTAGGCTTATGTATTTCTTCGAGTAAGGGTTAAGGTTTTCAACACAAACTGACACCAACTACAATGTGTAAACGCTCTGTAGCGAAATGGATGAATGAATTATGGGCAAAAAAACAAGAGTAGCCGTTTAATTAGTTCATCCATAAAGGATAGTGTCAACGGGTTAAAGTTTGTTTCAGAACTGAGGATTTAGAGATAATGTCGATTAACCTGTTATATAAAATCTGCAGAGATAGAATTTTAGCGTTTATTACGTTCAACACTATCGTTTGAATTGTATGGTGACTAAGAATACTTTTTCTCTGTCATATTAAACATTTCAAGCAGTACATAAAAGTATATCTGCTGTACGTTATACGTGGTCATTAGATTTTGTGCTCGAACCTAAAAGTCATATTCTTGTTTGTGATTGGATAGTACCTATAATTCTATCAAATTTACTAACGATTTTTTAATTCATACGCTAGCTCTGATTGTTTGGAAATCAACTATTCGGTATAATCTTTTTGTAGCTTGATATAACAATACATTTGTCAGAAATTTATTATGCTAACATCTTTATTGGTTGAATATTTGTTGTTTTCACTAGACTTCCTACTTTTCATCAGGCATATTCGATATGTATTTAATGAAATTGTAATCTCAATCTTTTATTCGACATGAATGAATAAGTATTATTTTTACAAATCCTGAGTTAATTCTTGATCTTTTCGATTAACTATCTGGTTATTCAAATCATTATATCATTTTACTTTTAGGAATAATTCATCATTGTTTTATTTTCCTTTCTATGTCCAGTTGAACATAAGCGATGTCATATATAAATAATAAACCATTTGTAATCATTGATTTATAAGCGTTTGTCGTGCAATTCTAATCACTGGACCTCTCAAACAGAACACTATTTCTCAAATCCTTATTGTACAAACCTGGTTTTAGACTTATAGCTTTTACTTTAACATAATGGCAAATTCAGTTAAAAATATCATGGATTTGAATTCTTTTCGTTTTACTCTTTAGGGAGTCATCAGTTATAAGAGTTGTACTTCGAAATATGGTTTAATTTCCCTTGGAAGTAAAAAAATATTTGATTGACTACTACAAATAAATTTATCATAAAAACACTTAGTTTTCAGTCGAATAATCCATTTCAAATAATTGAATCATTACCACATATGATGTTGTTGTATGTTACAGACTAACTTTACATAAGCACACAAAAAATACTGAACAGCTGTTTCATGTGAATTTAAGACTGCAAAATAGTGTACATCTTCATTTTAACCCTTAATGGAATTCAATCCGAAATTTTCAAGTTTTCTGATAAGCTAGAATTGATGAATCATAATCTGAATAAGTTGAAATCAAATATAGTCTTAAACTATACAATGTTCATTGGAATTCTAATGTACCTCAATCCAATTGATATCAGGTCATGTTCACTAATCAATAAATTACTCTAGCCACATAAAACACGTTTTTCAAATAATAGTAGCCAATTCTTTTATGATGGTTTCGAACTCTTTAACAACTTTGAGTTTTAATCATCAGATTACTTTAATTTTACACAAATATTGTCGTCTATTGTGATGGTTTTGTTTACTTATCGAACGCAAATGAATCTTAGGTAGAGAATGAATCCTTAGCTCAGTTTTTTTCTGTCTGGGATTTTAGCACTATGAATAGGTTTGGGTCTAGTCTTGAAGGACATTGTGGGCTTAACGAAAGTCGGGTACATATCAGCATATGATACATAGTTCTAAACCATCATAAAAGAATTGACTACTGTTATTTGAAAAGCGTGTTTTATGTGGCTAGAGTAATTTATTGATTAGTGAACATGACCTGATATCAATTGGATAGAGATACATTAGAATTCCAA